GCGCTCCCCCCGCCCCGCGCCAGCGCTGTACCTCCGACTCGATGGACGCGCGGCCGGGCCGGCCGGGTCCTGTGGCCCTCGGCGCACGGCCCTGGCCCTGAAGTCCGGCCCCGCACGGGGCAGCGGCGGAGAGCGGGGTTCCGGGCAGCTCTCGGCCTCCCGACGCCTCGGGACCCGACTGGCCGCGCTCCCGGCGCCGAGCGCGCACCCTCGCCGGGACACAGACGCACACTCACCCGACACACACTCGCTCCCGCTCGCCCTCGGCGGAGAGTTGAAACAGCTGTGGGATTCGCCCAGGAGCTGGAAATGAGGGAGGGACGTGAGCCAGAGCCGCGCGCGTGTGTGTGTATGTGTGTGTGTGCAACACACAGACGGGGGGGCATCGCTAATAAATCAAATACTGCAATAAAGTGTGGAGGACCATTGATCAGGTCCACTTGGCTGGAAACGAAGAGAATCCTTGCCTCTTTGCCGCTTTTTCTCCTCCCTCGGAGCTGGAAGGAGCCAGTGTTCCGCGGGGCGTGTGACAGCCCCGGCCAGGCGCTCCCCTCGTAATGACACGTTAATAAATGTTTTCTTTTATCTGCTTTCACAGGGCTCGCCCCGGTCTGCAAACACCCGACCGCCTTTGCTGAAAGCCCGGCGCTGGCCTCTAACTACACACATCTGCCTTGGGAGCTGCCGGCTGGAGCGGGAGCCCCCAGCTAGATCGCGGGGTGAACTGCCCACGCGCCCGGGAAGCTTCCTGAGATACGAACTTGAACTCAAGTGAAAAGAGCTGCGGTGGCTCAGAAATGGTCCGGGAATAGGAAAGAAAGGAGAAACCGGCTTCCTCCTCCGAAAGGGGAGGAACTCGACTCAAGGTGGTGCTGTCCACCGCGGTTTCCACTGTCCCCAGTGCCACAGCAGAGGCCGGAGGGGGACGGGGCTGACAGGGGTGGGCAAAGAGCCGGCAGACAACCAACCAGTAGCAGCAGAAACAGCGCTGAGTTAAGGGGAGACAGACCCTGCTGTGGATAAGTGCACTTTAGGCAACAGCGACTTAGTGTAAACCTAATAATCTTACAAGGAAAGTATCATTATGCCCATAATACAGCTGTGGAGACCAAGTCACAGAGAGGTTAAGTAACTGGCCCAAGGTCAGACACTTGTTAAGTGATGGACCCAGGATTTGAACCTGAGAAGCTTGGCTCCAGAGTTCCCCTAAGTCCTAGGCCGTTTACTTTTCAGTCCAGCATCTCCTTTCTCTGGCTTAGTCTTCCTTCATGCAAGTTAGGGGTGTCCTATTTAGTAAATAAAAATACAGGGGGTCCGCGAGGTGTACAAAAAATTCTTTGTATATTTGAAATTCAAATTGGATGTCCTAACCCAGTTGCAGGCGCTGGAGTCCCCCACGGTATTCTCCCACTTTAGCCAGGCCAGATCAATTTATAGTCTAAATAAATCAGGAAAACCTGGAACTTCTTTTTCTAAATCAGATTCTGGCCTTGCTTTTGGCACCACTGAGGTTGCTGATCTTCTGCCCTTCTTTTGCCTTAGAACAAAATGTCAGGCTTGCTTCTTTACCATCATGGACCAAAAAATAAGGAAGCCTCCGTTCCCTTCTTGCCTCATCTCTGCAGGAGGAAGAACACATTTACTGCAGAGCTTCCAGGATGATGCTGTCCCGTAAAAGCATCAAGCAGGCCCTGGTTGTAATTTAAAATTTTCTAGTAGCTGCATGAAAAAGTACAAACAACAACAGCAAAAACCAGGTGAAATTAATTTTAATAATATAGTTAACCTAGTCTATGCAAAATATCACTTCAACATGCAATCAATATAAACGTTTTTAATGAGATATTTTACATTCTTTTTTCTTAGGGAGTCTTTGGAATCTGATGTGTATTTTACACTTACAACATCTCACAATTCGTACCGGCCACGTGGGGCTGGGATTCCCATAGAAGACAGAAAGTACAGTTCTAGTAGTTTCTGTGGTCCACTGCTGAGCGTTTCTACCAGGTTATCTTATGTAATCTTTGTGACAATTTTTCAAGAAAACTTGTGCTTACAAAGGTCAAGGGTTGTGACCAAGGTCACAATGTTGGCAAGTGGGATTTTAACCCATTTGAGACTGTGCCTGGCTTTGGGACATGTATCTCCTGTGATAGTAATTTTCTCCTAGGTCCTCAGAGTCCCATGGGGTGACTCCGGGGCCTGGGGTAGAGAGGGAGGTGAGATCTGTCTTTTGCCTGCTTTTATGTTGGAGAATATTTCAGAGGTGGGGAGATGTCTACCACAAAAAAGTTAAAAAATACACTGCTTTCCTTTAGGCCTCAGGTTCATGAACACAGCTCTCCTTTCCCTAAATGGGCCCTGCCCACAATTTTCTCCTCCGTCCTTCCCTCCTCATCAGGGACCCCCAGTAGTGGAAGGGCAACTCACAGTCTCCTACATGGGGCTGTAGGCGGGGCTGAAGTGATGTCATTTGATTATCATTTTTAGGTATTTATTCTTTCCATTGTTGCTGTTAAAAGACCGAACATCTTGTTTTGCCCTTTATCCTTCCTCAGGAAGGAGACAGATCTCGTGTGTAAGTGCCTCTTTGTGTGTGTACATCTGTGTGCCTGGACACATGCCTGTGTGTGTGCTCACTGCAGGCAGGTGCTGTGGATCGGGTTTCAGGTGAGGACTTCACTCGCAGAGTCCAAGGGGCTGCAAAGCCCCCTCTGGCCACGTCTCATTCCCATGATTCAGAGCAAACTCCCTGGTCCTCTGGGTCTGAGGCCTCAGCCTGACTTTTCCAGCTTCCCTCCAGGCGGGAGGGGACTCCTGGCCCCATCTGGGAGCTCCGTGTCTGCCTGGGAGACTTGAGGGTCCTCCTGGGCTCTGATGTCCCCCAGTCTGGGGAGTCGCTCAGCCACTGAGCCGGGGGCCTGGGTGGGGCCCCAGTGCGATTCTGGGGACTCCCTGGCCTCCTGACACTCCAGCCCCTGCCCGTCCGTCTCCAACCGCCCCACCTGGGACAGCTTTCTCCCCTCCTGTCCCTCGTCACCCTGATGGCACCTTTCTCTGTGTGCGTCCTGGCTGGATGATCGGGCTTTTCAGGTTCCTCACGCCGGTCCTGACTCCCCACCCCCTTGCTGGTTTAACCTCGAGGGGACCTTTCTGTTGACACCCACATGCCTCATTTCATCCTTCTGTGAGTTCCTTGGCGGCCCTCTGTGCAGAACGCCCGGCTGCTTCTATCCCCCTTGCAAAGCCAGAATGCTGTTTTATTTCCGGGACTCCTATACAACAATTAAAAAAAAAAAAATCATTCCTGCTGTGTGTTTTCACAGTCAAGAGGCTGAAACTCAGTCTGATTGTCCGAGGACTTCTGGCTGCATTTGGGTTGGAGTAGATGGGATTTTATGAGGTTGTAAAAGTCAAGCTTTTAACATGTCTCAAATTGGCATGTGAAGGAGAAGCATTAAAAGTGGAAACGTGGCCACAGATGGGAGGCCTGGGAATGCGAACACGCCACCGAACTGGGGCACAGGTGGCTTTAATAACCTGCACCAGTTTGGCACAAAACAGAGAGGTCATAGAGTCACCCCCAGGGGCTTGGGATCCAACTTCTCAGCTCCTGAGTGGGGATGGTTTTGCATGGGTTTTTATTTATTTATTTTTTATTTGAGAGAGAGAGAATGAGAGACAGAGAGCATGAGAGGGGGGAGGGTCAGAGGGAGAAGCAGACTCCCTGCCGAGCAGGGAGCCCGATGCGGGACTTGATCCCGGGACTCCAGGATCATGACCTGAGCCGAAGGCAGTCGCCTAACCAACTGAGCCACCCAGGCGCCCCTGCATGGGTTTTTAAACTACGAATCCCAGCATCATCCCTAACGTTAGTGATACATTTGTGGTTAATCCTGCTGAGTTTTCACTTAGACCCAAGCTGTCCTGGTCGGTAGAAATGCAATTGCATTAGAGAGAAACTGTTTACATTTTTGAGATATTGTGATAATGAAAAACAGCATCATAAACCCCCATTAAATCAGAAGAACATTAATTGTATTTCCTGCTGCCTCCCTGGGCTGGCTCGCTGACACAGACGTACTTTACTTCAGCAAAACAGGGCTAATCTTTGCAGCACGGTACCCATTCCCCCCCCTTAATTATATGTAATTGTATAGTCTAATTTATTCCAACGCCCGACACCTAAAAGTGCACATTCATGAATCAGGGGTTAGATTGGAAGGTAAGAGAATTATAAATGGGTGTAATTGCAGTCTCCTGGGGGCTGCTTATGAGTGATCTCAAAGAGTCATGATGTTTATTCTGAATTCTTACCAATGAAAGACAGTTGCCCTGTCTCCAGTAAAGAACACAGATAACAGTGACAATTTGTCTAGTTGCTTAACAATACACCACTCGTTCTTGTTGGGATAAGTAGGCAAAAAAAAAAAGATTAAATACATGAATTTCGTGTAATTTGTGATGTGATGAAACGGGGCACACAAGCATTAGTCCACGGGTCATTGAGTATTAAAATGAGTAACGTGGCTGCGGGCAGCGCAGTGACAAATCTGTGGACAAAGCAGAGCTCTGTCTTCTGTTTTTATTCTAAAACTCTCAAACCAAGGAGTTGAAGGAATAGTACAGTAGACAGGCTATACCTTACACCTGGAATCAACAGTTGTGAATATCTTGCCATGTGTGCATTATACGTTGCTGCGCCATTTGAAAAAAAGTCGTGGATCTCCTGAGACTAAGCTGGCCTCCCAGATGGCTGCCCCTTCCTTATCATACCTAAGGAAATGACCAGTGATCCCATAATCATTGCCCAGCTTGCTCACATTAACAGAGCCACCAGGGTGTCTTTCTCTTTGCTCCTTAAGTCCTTTTCTGACTCAGGACCTTTGAACTTGCTGTGCCATCTCTCTGCTTTTGCTCCTTGTCATCATTCAGATCTCAGTTCAGAAGTCACATCACTGAGAGTCCTCTCCTGTCTGTTTTACCTAAAGAGGTTTCCTGGTCTCCTTCACTTTCTATTCTCCCTCCTTATTTTATTGCCTTCCTATAGCATGCCACTGTATAAACAATTCTGTTTTTATTCTGTGTCTGTGACCACAGTCCATTTGCAGCTCACCGCCCCTTGCCCGCCACCCCACATGCACCCCACACTAGTAGTTGCAGGAGAGTGGGGCTACATCTGGTTTGTTTGCTGTTGTGGGCCTTCTGCCCGTTACAGAATTTGGCACGTAGTCAGTACTCCATAGGTATTTGTGAGATGAATGAATAAATATACCTGTGTGTCATGTTTTCAAACAGAAGTGATAATAAAATGGAGAGATCGGGACCCCAGTGTTT